ATGTACTGATGGACGGTGGATGTCAGTTGAATTGCGATTGAAAGTGCTCGGCCCAGCGGTCCATACGCCTCTGTTGGTTGGTGATGGGAGATTCATCCAACTCGCAAATAACCTCATTGACACCAGGCTTCCTGAGGCCAGTGGACTGAATGAGTTGGAAAAGCTTGCGAGCGTTGCCAGATAGGGCAGCGGTCTCTATCTCTAAAGCACGCTCAAATCACCATGCCTCGCGGTCTTTGCGTAGGATTTGCTTGAGCAGCCGGTTGGCAGAACGGCGCCGCTCGTTGCAATCTGATTCCGCGGTGATATCTTTGCGGCGATCGAACAGCTCCAGAGAGCGAGCAGAGATCCAAGTCTTTAATGGGCGTCGAGCTAGACTGCAGCTTGACTGTCCGGAAATGGTCATCGCTTTCTGTACACAAGTTTAGTGTTGCTCTAAGTTTTGCGGTGGTTTGCAAGTGAGTGCGTATGCCTGGACAGAGGAATCAGTTGATCTGTTTACATCAATCTTGCGGTGCTTCGTGTTTCGGGACCGGCTAAAACACATGCAGATTTTCGCGCGGACCAGTGCATGATCTGAGTCAACGTAGGTGGACCAAAAAGATCTGCAGTCCAGTACGCTGCCACGTCATCTGAAGCTAACTGCAATGTGATCAATTTGAGGCCACAGTTGTGTTGGCGAAAGGGGACGCTACGTTGCGGAACGCTTCTTCGTACGCTTGAAGCTAGTGTTTGAGAGAAACAGATGGTTGTCTTCACACATTTTGAGAAGCGTCTCCGTCATCAGAGCGGTCCTCATCAAGCGCGTAGAGGCCACCAAGATGGCGTTCGTATGGTAACAGGAGGCCAACTCGAGCATTGTGGTCCCCCAGCAATGACAACGACATCCGACATTTTAGCATTAGTCAAGACCTGATGTAGCTTTCAATAGAAGTCGTTCTTGATCGAGCCATTGTTGCAGTCAGTTGGAGCGTACATGGAGATCACAAACAAGTTGCGTCTCTCTTCGCGGCGCTTGTTAAGTCTACATGAACCCCGAAGCCGAAATGCCCACAGTCGACTGCTATCGAAAATCAGTCCAGTCATGCCGCCTCGGCCTTGCCACTTTGTGCTATATCTACATTAGCCAAACCCGCTGGGGCTGCTTTTGGATCTCCGGAAAGACGCAGGTGATATCTGACTTCTTAGTCAGTATGGGGTGTCAATGTAAGCACAGTGCTGGGGTCTTGCAATCGGGTTTCTAAAAGGAAGCAGACGTCAACATCAAGGGACCCTAGGGAGCGCGTTAGGCTGGCTTGTTAACCAATCTGTATGAGTGTCCGAAGGTTGAAGCACGCCAGACGGAAGGAAAGGATCGAGGACGAAGGAGACCCATAGGTTGAACTCCATGGTTCGCGATGCAACCGGAATGGCAGCCAGATTTTTGAACACATGAATTGGGTAACGGGAAGTAAGGACTGTTAGCAAACAAGCAATTTGCATGTAATGAAGCCGCTTGAATGAAAGGAGCAGAAACGGTATCCCATGAGCATGTTGTAGTACAGTACGGTAGTGGAAGTGTATACCATCACCCAATCCAATAGGTCATGGTGAATAAATCTCAGCATCAAACCCTATAATAATAGAAAGTGACAAGAAAAAGAGAAATCGACAGAGTAAAAGGGGCATTCAGGTAACCAAAGATGACCACGTTGGGTTGTGCGTGCGCGCGGTTGTCCAAGCACAAGGAGAATAGTGAAACGCGGTCACTACGGTTATTTGGGAATTTCTAACCAGAGCGCAAGTAGGTAAAACTGGAATTAGACAAACGATCCATTATGATCAACTATGTTTTCAATCATCGGTTTTCCGCGGACGTACGATTCGCACGAGCTGTAAGAGTACTTCGTTGCTTCTTACAGCACTGATTCTATCTATGCCTCTGACTTAAGCCAGCCTACAGTTCCCCCGAAACATCGTAGAGGTTCCAGACGGACGCCATGGCGGAGATGTACGCTATCGGGCTCGTCCCCAGGTTGCGGATCGGAGAATGCCTTCCTTGTGGAGGCAACTGCGAATAAATCTTGATTGCTTTGCAGGCGAGATGAATAAGCAGTCGTGGATAATCAGCGGCAGCGTCCCAGAGCGTGGGGAATTCTGGGGTGGTCACCTGGTTCTCCATCAAATGCCACAAGAGCTCGTACGGCGCTGTGTCAAAGCAAATGTGACCGAATATAGGGTCACTGACCACTCACTCCTGTAAGTGGGGGTGAGTATCTAACGGAGGGCAGATGAACAAACTTTTTTGCCACCGGCTTCTCTGTGGGCTGCTTCCGAACACAAAGAAGGCGAATGAGCCATTTGGTTGTCAACGGTCTTCGTGAATCACCCCGCTGCTTTGCGGGTCAGGTCTTTAGGCCAAAGGCTCAGGGTGGGGTCCCTTAAGTTAACCTATTTCCTCGTCCTGGGCAACCGGAAAGTTGAATGCCCATACAATGCATGGAACTTTGCTTCCATTCTTTTATTGTTGTTATTGTTATGTGCTGTGGCACTCTGCCAAATGTTTATTGGGCAAGTGTTATATATATATATATATATATATATATATATATATATATATATATATATATATATATATATATATATATATATATATATATTCAAATAACCCAATAAACGCTATGGTGATTCTGACATTATACAAATGAAACAATTCAGGTACAGGCAACTACAGCCGTCAGCAATCAGCTTACAGTATTATCAACGCAGATGCTTAAAGCAAAACTGATGTGACGCATCACAAGATGGAGCTGTTGCTGACATTAATGCAGCCTGGAGAAAATTCTACATAGCAGTTTACCAAAAACTGGGATGGATTAACCACATTTTAAAAGGCAATCGGTTTTAATAAGCACTCGAATGTAGTTTATACTAACTACAACTATATGGAAGTGAGATCAGGTCGACAGACATAAAGAGGCTAGTCATGTTCGATCATCGCTGCCTTTCAGCTTAGCTCATGTTTGGTGGGAGCACTGCGTGAACAATGGGCGTCTTCGGCGTCGCGTATTTGGTGCAGGAAGAGCTAGTAAATCGCTCAGCACCATTATATCACGCACCAGACTCCGATGGCTGGGCCACGTGTTGCGCATGCCAGCACACCGACCTCCGCGACGTGCATTATTTGAGTTCCGGGGGAGCAGTTGGAAGACGAGAAGAGGAGGCCAAGCGATGACTTGGTCGAAATAAATGAAAATCCGCACTTCGAAGTTGGCGTCAGTTGGTACATGCCGACTGCCTGGATGAGACCCTAGGGACGATGAACACTTTTGTCTGTGTTGTCTGTGTCTTTGGCCAACCCCCTCCCTTTTAGATTTCCATTCCAATTCCGATCTCATACGAATTACATATTATAATAGTTAACAGTATAGTACCTGCTTTGGTAGTGTAATTTGTTTGTACACTACCCTGTTGTATTGCGTCACATTGGCTGATGTGTTTCTCACCTTCAACTAAAGTGCATTGATGATGACATGTGAGTGAGTCCTAAATGACTAGTTGTGTAAATATAGTCCACAGCAGCAAGTGATATAAATTCACAGACTTGGATTGCGGTGCGTTATCGTGCGGGGTGATTTATGAGAGAATAGAAAATAAATCAACGCGATGGGCATAAAGAGCAGAAACACGAGATTATCGTAGGTAGAGAATTTGAGTAACGGTATATGGCTGTGTATCCTTACTCGAGAAAAAGTGTCAAGTATAGATAATTTAAATCGGGTGGATAAAAATCTGCATATAAAAGAATGTGAGTGATTAAAGGGAGAGCCACGATAATAATAAAAAATCAACAGGAAAACGCTTGTGGCAAATCCCAAACCTTACCAAATACTTGCAGTCGCTAGAGATGGCGATTGATAGGATGGGACCGGTGTGAAATGGGTAAGAGGAAGACCGCTTCCCACCGAAAACGGTTTGAATTCTCCGAAATTCCTTTATGCACCCTTAAAAGACCATTATGTGATATTGGTGAAAGACTAACATTTAATAATGGTTGAGTCCTTGCCTCCACTAAATGCAAAACTGTTGTCATCTGTGACGCAGATGCACGTAACGGCTCTCCTATGACCTTTCAAAAAGCGAATGTCAGAGAGTTTCGGAGAAGGAAGCTGAAATACGTTGTTGAAAACCTAATTGACTACTTTGAGTGCGATAGACACCATGAGCTTTCCCTTCTCAAATAAAGCCTCCTCTTTGAGCTTCATAGAATACATATTGAGTTCCTCCTCATCCGATCCAACTTTAAGAAAGTTTATGAATACAAGAAACTAACTCTGCCTTTTTGCCTCTTGCACTATTCTTCTTGTCAGACGCACGCGCTTCGCATGAGCCGACTCAGCTTCGTGTACACTAGAAATGTCCGAGTCTTGAGAAGATCTAAAAGAACCATGCGCAAAGGTTTGACTACTTACAAAACGGCTTGTTCGTCATCCGACGGAACTTCATCCATCTGAATTTTGTTCTAATAATCGATAAAAAAAGAAAAAAACTACGTACAGTGCGCTTTGATGGGAGACGATGGACTGTACCATGAGTTCGGCGTGGCATGGCTGTTGCAGTAGATCAATAACAGCGATTCAACGTGGTGTGTTAGGTCCTTTGCTCCACTTGATGTATATCAGTGATATAACTGAAAAAACAATTTGGGATACCATATATCATTGCGATTGAAATAAAAATACTACACACCTTCAAGATCCGGTGTTTGAGCGATACTCTAGAAAACGTTCGCATGGAATCGTGGTGAACCGATTAGCAAATGTCTTTCACAGTGGACAAATGCAGTGCGTTGGCATGCAAGTGCGAATTTTTGCCAAATGCAATTTACCTTGGTGGTGAACCCATCTATTGTACCAAGACTATCGTGATCTATACATTCCGAATCGTTGTGAGCAAGTTGTATTTATAACAACCAGATAATAAAGTGTAAAACTCATCACAATTTCATTTTCGGTGCACGAACCTACACCGCCCTGTGGAGAGTACTGCTCGATTATTTTTACAACCGGCAGGAAGCGCGATCGCGTGTGCCTAGGAAACGTGCAGCGGTCATTCACAAAAGCTCTCTTTAACTCATCGTTCAAACTCAACTACTCTGAACGCTGTAAGGTGTTAGATCTGGAGTCACCGTGGCTAAAACACATAAAGTCAGGACAAAAATTCCCACTTGAGTTGGTTTATAAGCGTGTAATCACACTAAAAATCGCAATTCACTTCAAGCAAGAAGGAAGATACGCAATTAAGAATGCTAAGAACCAACTCCCGGTGTTCAAAACGAAAAGTAATGTCCGAAGAAAATTCTAACTAAACAGATGCACTGAGATGTGGAACAGACTCCCTATTGAAATAAGAGAATGCGAAGTGCAACCAGTGTCTAAAAGAGCAATTCCAAACTGCCTGACGGTGCAACACGTAAAACAATGCTGAAATTAAATTGCAATGAAAGAACGCTATGTGAGGAGGGGATCGAGACGTAAGTGTAGTGAAGACAAACATACAGAAAATAGGCCACGTACAATGGTATTTACTTCGCCAGGCCATCCAGAAGAGGTGAAGTTAAAAAATGAAAAGTTAACAGAACCCTTTCACTCTTCTTTACGCGATCCTCTTCGATTTTACTCGAGGAAGCACACCTTACAGACACACCAATAAGTGTGATTTGCAGTAAAATTGAAAACTGAGATTGGGCTAACCATTTTTGTCTCCACTTCTTCATATTCTGCTTACTCAGCCACGCATACCTCACAGTTATACAAAAAAGTATGAGCTGAGAAGGAAACGCTGACAGAATCTATCCATCTTCGTGCACTTTTACCATTCGTTCGTTCTTATTCGGCTACGTTTCCCCTGTTGCCCTCATGTAAACATGTCAGGCAGCAAGGTGAAGCTAACCGATTATGCTTCCAACATCATGCCAGTTTCAGAAACTTCTTTTTCATTTTTCCTCTTAATCGCTTACGCCTAGAGTACAATAAAACCAAAACGTCTGAGGTAGTTGACCAATGCCAACCGTCTTCGATTCGCATACACAAAAAATAAACCCATTCTATCTGTCTTGACCCATATGTACAGATGCTGAACTGAAAAATAATAAATACCTCCGTCTTTTACTACGGCTTTGTAGAACGCCACAATGCATAGAAAATGTTTAGCCCAAATTAAATGCTGTTCTATAATTAGGATTTCAGTATTAACGTTTTTCTCATCACCATTCAATTGTTCCACATCTTTCAGCAAAGGAAAACTTGGTTTCGTCCGAACACGGAGCTCTCTGTCAGGATGCCATGAATTATTCGGTGCCCACTCAAGGCTTTGAACTGGACAACCATAGATGTTAAAAACACGATGCTTATTACTGACTGTAAATAATGCACGAAACAATGGTAAAAATTGGATTATTCCTAAAAGGGCACGCTTCGTAAACTTGAGAATATACATTATTATTATTACACACATTAAAAGAAAAGATATCAGAGATCAACAATAACTAGAGACCAACTAGTCCAAGGAATAAAGGAAGTATTGGGAGTATTAAATATAATCAGGACCCCAGACCCATACACCCGCAAACCGGTTTCCGAGTTCGTGTTCACAAGTGAAATGGAGATTCTCGTGTGCGTCACTGAAAGCTTTCAGCAACTGTTCCGCATGAGTTTCGGATTTGCGAAGTACGAAGGTGTCGTCAACATATCATACATACATTTCGGTTTCACGGATGTGCGTTGCAAGTGGGCCATGTTCCGATTTCGCCATGAAAATACCAGCCAGCAACGGCCACAAAGGAGATCCCATGGCCACTCCGTCAATCTGACGGTACATTTCACCATTGAAGGTGAACTGAACATTTAACGTGTAACGAAGTAACACCTGTTTTAGCAAATTCTCCGGAAAGGTTGCGTATATGGGCAGTTGCCGAGCAAGCTCGCATACGTAATCCACGGTTTCGAGCAACGGAATCTTTGTGAACAGCGACTAGGCATCGAATGATATCATCCCTTTGTTAACAAAGTTGCTTTCAGATATCCTCGCAATGAATTCGAACGTCTCTCACGCAGTAAGTACAAATCAAATTCCGTAACGGCTGCATCTTCGCCACCATCCACTGGACCAACAAATGCTGGGGAGAACTCACCATGTCCAAGATTGGGCGCATTGAGGCGCCTTCCTTGTGAACTTTAGGCAGGCCATATAATCTCGTTAGGTGTCCCCTGAAGGTTTCAGCTTTTCGTATTCGTTCTTCGTGATTGGTCTGCATCATTCGCCTGAGGCAGTCGGTTAGCTGTTTCCCTAACTCTCCTATGTTGTCTTTTCCTGTCATGAGCCTCTGAAACTTACTCTCGTCACTGAGAATGTGTTGCATTTTATGGACATAATCCACCCAATGCATTAGCACTATCTTGGAGCCCTTGTCTGGCTTAGAGATTATTAATTCCTTGTTTAACCGTAGCTCTTTAAGTGACTGAATTTGTGCCCTAGTAACAATACTATTCCTAGATAGTTTAGTCTTAACGTATTCGTGACAACTACGAACTAGGCTAGATTTTGGATTCTCAACATCACTTAATGAGGTTGGAAGCAGGTCTTTAGTCTGAGTAATTAGGCTTTCAAACTGCACCTCTAAAGCCGCATGATATATTTTCTTACATGGTATGCAAAAGTTTGGACCTAATGACAACACGTTCAGCTGCGTCTGGGTTAGTACCACACTTGAAAGGAACACATATCTCTAAGGGTTATTCGAAAATGTCAACTGGGGAACATGGCTATTAAGCATACTAACTAACTTCTTCTGTTTCCTTACTCTCATTTTCTGTTTAACCAGTTCTACATATTCCTCAAAAGGTTGTCTCAAATCCACAGGCAGGCATAACCGCTGGTAATCATTGCGAAATGAATCTCTCCAGCTCCGACATCGTAACGCGGATGGTATCCACATAAATGAGCGCAAGTCTCTTCAAGATTTTCGCGTTTGCGTAGAGGCCACACCGCCAAAAGTGCTTTGGATTTTGATCATTCAAACAGTCCAGAAGTCAATCCCAGCCAGAGTTGACGCTTTTCCCACAATCAGTGTTATGTAGACGTTTGGGTCCGATGAGAGTTTACCGAAAAGAATTCCTCACCCTGAACTGATTTCTGATATTGATTCATATTAATGAAATGGGCATCTTGGCTTTGCTGAAAACCAGCATTGCCCGTGATTCATTGAAACTTCAGTTTAAGTTGATAAGGAAGATTGTACAAACCTTTGAAGTGCTTCGTGGCTCGTGACATCCACTTGACCAGACATGTCCTCATATACAGTCATCCACCGTTTGACTCACGTGTTATCGTTGTTCGGAATTCCGTCGTATATTTACTACGATCGAGGGGCCTTATTTATGTCCGACAAACCGAAAAATTCCATTGCAGTAAAGGCACAGCAACCAGCCGGTCGACCGCTTACCAACCGCAAAGCAACATTTAAGTAGAAGGCAATCGTTTTAACCTTGAACTGCAAAGGTCCCCCTAGCATCTAATGGGAAACAGTACTTCTAGATGCGTTCTATTCTGTCCAATCGTTGTCATGCACCGCCACCAATGTCACTCCATACGAAGGGATGTTTTCATTTAATCATTATTCAGCCACTGGTATCTCGTTGCCAAATTGGTTGCTGTCACCGGACCCGTCTGATACTTATGAAAAAGAACCACAGAGCCTCGAAGTACGATCTTGTTGTGGAGGAGGTAGAGCTACTAGAGTGCAATCCGTTTTATGCTCATGTGCGCTTACCTTCCGGACGTGAGGAAACGGTCACGTTGCAGCATTTGGTTCCTCGTGGGGATCAAACATGTGTTCCCAATGACATTCATGACGAAACCAAATCTGTAAACGAACATATAGTGCTAGCTAGTGAAAGCCCATGGGAATATTTCGGGCCATCTACATCTTGCAACTCATCTACTGAACCCGCTCACCCCCGAACAAACGGGCAGCCATTGTATCCTAGACCACAACGGCCAGCAACACTTGCAGAAACAACAACGTGTACACGCCTGTGAAATGCGTAACCGTGAGGAGTAACACACTGTATTGTTTGTGCACCACCGTGGTTATCACGTCTGGGAGAATGTTATGACATGGTCGTGTGTTTGTCCTGCATTTGCTATATCTGCATTATTTTCTATACATACTGCACTTTGCTTTATAGCGCACATACTCTGATTCTCAGATGTGTAAAGCCTTATGAATCGGACCTTGGTCTTCTTTCCAGTCTGGACCGACGCGCTCGTTTGTTACTCACTCGTAGTAAGTAGTTTGTGCGAAAATCATCGAGGCATTATACTTGCTTACGTTGCCTCCAAGTTTTTCACTGGTATTGTCCTTCAGCGGCTTACTGGACCCTATGGGAACCGAATCACTGGAAGCCAGGGTAGTTTCCGAGCTGGTCGTGGTTGCACAGAGCACATACTTATTCTTCGTCAGGTTTTAGAGCAGAGACACAAATATATATATATATATATATATATATATATATATATATATATATATATATATATATATATATATA